GCAAGAGAAAACAGCCCCAGAGGGAGGGAAGGGGAGAGGCCCCGGCTTCTCAAAGCACACTCCACAGGGACTAGCCCCTTGGGCGCAGCCTTTAGTTATAGGTGGTGGAAGCAAGATAGATTAGCTCTGGGATTAGGGAGAGTGTCTCTCAAGGACTGCAATGAAAGCATAACTGCAAGGAAACCAACCTTAGTGAGCTGATAGATATTTAAAAAGGGCGGGGGGGGGTGTTCATAGAGACGTCTTCTATCCCTGATTGATCGCTGGTTTTTTCTTTGGTGGGGGAGTCCTTGTTAGTGCCCCCCCCCGTGGCTCAGGTGCACAGCTCGGATCCACCATAGAATCCGCCTGATTCTATGGAACATCCAGCTGAAGTCAGACAGGCTCCCTCCCTGTTGAACTTCCAGCGACTACCGAATTATTATTATTTTTAAATATTATTTAGCAGGCAGTTTGAGCAAATTCTGATTTCATAGCGTTAACTGATTTTTCTTTTCACTGTATTGAGGAGCCTGTGCACTGCTTAGAGATTACTGTAATTAAGCGGTATATATTTATAAAAAGGGGACGTGGGTGGCGCTGTGGGTTAAACCACAGAGCCTAGGACTTGCCGATCAGAAGGTCGGCGGTTCGAATCCCCATGACGGGGTGAGCTCCCGTTACCCGGTCCCAGCTCCTGCCAACCTAGCAGTTTGAAAGCACGTCAAAGTGCAAGTAGATAAATAGGTAGTGCTCTGGCGGGAAGGTAAACGGCGTTTCTGTGCGCTGCTCTGGTTCGCCAGAAGTGGCTTAGTCATGCTGGCCACACGACCCGGAAGCTGTAGGCCAGCTCACTTGGCCAATAAAGCGAGATGAGTGCCACAACCCCAGAGTCGGCCACGACTGGACCTAATGGTCAGGGGTCCCTTTACCTTTACCTATTTATAAAAACAAATGGTGGGCTTGAGTGGAGCTTCCATGTCCAGATGCAGTTTACCCCTGAATACCAGATGCTAGGGAAACAACCATTGAGGAATAGTACTGCCTTATTGTCCAGCTTTCCAGGACACCGGGCTGTCCATCATCGGAAACAGGATGTCTGGGTGGGGGATGGAGTTAGACAAATCCTGATATGGTTCAAGCCTTCTTCTTCTTCTTTAAAAAAAAAACCCAAATACTTTGTCTTGTTGGCCAAAACCATGATATTATTTTTTGCTGGTGCCCCAAACCTGTTTGTTCCTGCCTCACTTTGCACCCCTGCTAAACTCAGGTGCCTGTCTCTTATCATTCACTCAGCCACCCATCCCCACTGCCCCTACATGCCCCACATATTCAGAGCTGGGAGAGGTCTTTCTCGGAAAGCTGCCCCCCCTTCCCTGAACCACAAGATTTACAGTGTGACAAGAAATCATCCTGACGCTAGGTCCGCCCGCCACCCATTTCTGGGTGCTCAGGCTTGTAAATCTTGCCAACAGGGTGGAAAGCGATAAATCAAATTGGGGGTTGGGGGGTTGGAGGGGGAGTTCCCTGCCCTGAAACACACACACACCACAAAATGCTATATTTGCACAAAACCTGAAATGACAATGGCAAGAAAACTAGGCTGTGTACGGGTTCTGTGAGCAGGTATTTGCTAAGAAGAAAATAAATGTTGATGGAGACATAAAGTGCAGGTTTCAGTGGAGCTTCTAAGTTTAGCAGCAGTCTACCCAGTGTTTCTTGCAGGCAGCAAGAAAAGGGACGTGATAGAAGTTTAATAATGCATGGCATGGAGAAAGCAAAGTTTTCGTTCCTCTCTCCTGACACTAGAACTCAGAGAGATCCAGTGAAGCTGAAGATTCAGGGCAGATAACCTAACAAATAATAATATTTTAAATGTGTTTGTGGGAGGGGGGTGGTTATTGTTTTGCTGTTTCTGTTTTAACTATTTGTGGTTTTGTCTTGTGAACCTTTCCAGGGATCTTGCGATGAAAGGCAGTATATAAATCTAATAAAACAATAAGATAATAAAAATAAAAGACAAAAGAAAGACCTTTCTTATACAGCACATAGCTGGACTGTGGAACTCCCCGCCACACAATGGTTGGAGGCAGCCATGCTTCTGAATCCCAGTTGCTGGAAACCACAAGAGGGGAGAGTTGCTCTTGGGCCCGGATCCTGCATGCTGGTTTCCCTTTGGGGCATCTGCTTGGCCTGATCCAGCATGGGCTCTCCTTATGCCCTTACGTTCTCCCTCCCTCCTCCATCTCCCGAGCTCCAAGGTGCAGGAATTTGCTCAGGGGGTCCCAGTCACGCCCCCGCCCAAGGACCAGGAAGGAAGGGCGGTTGAGAGACAGATTGGAGCAGGTGATAAAAGAGGCCGGGGAAATAATTTGCTCCCTGAAAACAGAGGCCTTCCTGTCCCCTTTTGCGGCGGGACAAGAACCTCGGGGCAGGCAGTTGTCTGGGCTAGCTGCCACCCGGCTTTTGGGATCGACATTCCTAGGAGGCTGGAGGTGGGGTGAGATCAGGCAGGGAGGCGGTAGGAGCAGGCAGCTGCAATCCCCTCCCTTTTAATCAATTCGTTTCCCCAAAACGAATGTGCATCCATTTCCACCTCTCCATCTTCCTGAAGGCAGTCGTGGGCCGAGCTGCAAATGTGATTCCTTCTAGTTCTGATGTTCTGCTGGAGTGTGCTGTTGCAATTGTTGAAGCGTATTGCACCAATCCTGGCCTGGCTGCACAGCCTGCCAGATAGCTTTCGGGCCCGATTCAAAGTGGCCGTCAACGTCCGGGAGCGCAAGAGAATCCTCGATTACAACCAGGCCTTCAACGCCCTACGGCTGGCCCTCCGGCACGACCTGGGGGGCAAGCGGCTCTCCAAGATCGCCACCCTCCGCCGCGCCATCCACCGAATCGCCACCCTCTCCACGTCCCTCCGGTCCGGGCCTGCGGTGGGGTGGTCCTGCGCCCACGCTGAGTGCCAGCCGACCCGGGGCGAAGGCAGCTTTAGGGACAGCCAGCCCAAGCTCTTCCAGCCTCTCTGGGAACCTGGATACAGTAAGGGGCCTCCATTTCAGCCCAGTGCGACAGCATGCGTGAAGTGCCACCCCGAAAACGCTTCCCATCACTTGGTCGACAACCCCAAAGAGGGCACTGCCTGTTGTCCAGCCAGCACCCTCCTCCTGGGGGGCCCGATTCAAAGTGCTATAAAGCCTTAAACAGCTCAGGACCGCAATACCTCAAGGATAGTTTATACCTCTCCCCATACAGTGGTACCTCGGGTTACATGTGCTTCAGGTTACATACACTTCAGGTTACAGACTCCTCTAACCCAGAAATAGTGCTTCAGGTTAAGAACTTTGCTTCAGGATGAGAATAGAAATTGTGCTCTGGCGGTGCGGCGGCAGCAGGAGGCCCCATTAGCTAAGGTGCTTCAGGTTAACAGTTTCATGTTAAGTATGGACCTCCGGAACGAATTAAGTACTTAACCCGAGGTACCACTGTATATACTGCTCCAGACCCTGTAATCATTATTTGAGGCCCTCTTTGTGTGCCTCCTCCACATGAGGTCTGCAGGGTGGCAACATGAGAACAGGGCCTTTTCTGCAGTGGCTCCCTGTTGCGGAATGCTTTCTCCAAGGATGTTCGGCTGCTGCCTTCATTATACATCTTTATGCACCAGGCTAAAATGCTCCTCTCCAACCAGGTCTTCGGCTGATTAATATTCTACAGCCTTTTAAATATGTTTGAGGGAGGTTATTGTTTTGCTGTTTTTGATTAACCCGTTTATTTGTGTTTTTACCTTTAATTTTTATCTTGTGAATCGCCTCGAGGTCACGTCTAATAAACAATAATAAATAACAGACATCCTTGCTGCAGTCAAAAGGTGAGAAACGAGTTTGTAATTTTTAAGATCTTTATCAGCTTCAGAAAATAAATTTAAAAGCGCCAGGCAATTGGTCCTTTGCATAATTTATGCCTAACAAACCTCTGGAACTCCCTGCTACAAGAAGTTGCAACAGTCACTATGCTCAATTGAAAATATGCATAGGGTGGCACTCCTAGATGAGTTCATGTGCACCAAGGTTGCACCAAGGATAAAGTAGGGCAGGGGGAGAGACATTAAATGCCCCCTTGATCTCCGTGGAGGGAAGGCGAGAGACACAATATAACCTCAAACAAAAAATGTTCGCAAAACTGACAAATTGCTGTGTCCTTGTTGTTAGGCCCACAAACCTGAGAGACAGCTCCTCCAACCTTTTATCAGCCTGTGTCTGATTTGTGTCCAGTAATTGATCACAGCAATTACTACCTGTTCCGTTTGTCTCTTGCCATGCTCCTGTTTGGACCTTTTGAAGCCATGGCTAATTTCAGGGCCTGCGTGCAATAAATCAGCTGCAGGGACCCCCGAGGGAACGAGGAGGATGGGAAGGGAGACTTCAAAGGGAGGCATGTTTTACACCTGCCTGGTTTCTTCATGGACGCTGGAATCTCACCTTGCCAAGAGGCCCAATTTATTTTTATTTTTAAAAAAGAAATTGGTGGAGGAGAAGAGGCCTAAATTAATAGCTAGCCTCAGACATCTGGGAGAAAGGGACCGGTGATTTAAAGACAGAGTCTTTTCCTGGAAAGGCAACCAAGGTGCTTATTACAACTTTTGGAGGGTCGAAGGGCTGGCGGGAAAGGAAATTCCGTCCTGAGTGTGTGCAGAGCCTGGCTGCAGGATCAGGCCAAAGGGGACCCATCCAGTCCACCATCTTCTTCTCACAATGGCCAACCACATGCGCCAACAGGAAGCTTGCAAGCAAAACCCAAGCAGATCAACAGCTCTCCCCTCCTGTGGCTTCCAGAACCCGGCATTCAGAAGCTGCCTTTGTCCGATGTGCTGGATATGATCATTTATGTACACTGCAAAAGCATTTGACTCATTCCACAGTATCGGGAGCTCTTGTCAGACCGCCCACCCTGCAGTGTAGGCAAGGAACTTGAGTTGGAGTTGAGGGCGTGACAAAGAGGCAGAGTGGTGTATGGAGGTGGGAAAATCTGGCGTCTACATGAGCAGCTTCCTGAATAAGCTGGTGCCCCTAACCCCAGGATACCTGGAGGCTGGTGATAAAAAAGGCTACCTGGGACGGGATTCCACATGGTATAATTAAATCTCAGCCTCCAGGAGTTTGGAGGAGGAGGAGGAAGAGAAGGAGGAGTCTGGTGAACAGGACTGTCCAGCAAAGATCTGCACAGGGAGAGGGAGAGAAATCTGAACAGAGAGTCTCAAAAATGCCCAGAGCTGCCCCAAGCCACCTGGAACAGCCGGACCCCTGGGAAGGAGAGGCACGAGGTGTGCCCAGGCAAAGGACCTGCTTCCTGCAGCCTTGCAAGGTCAAGTCCCCGGCCTTCCCTGGAAACCTCGAGGAGGCCCCAGAGAAGCGCAGGATCCGGCCCATGCGCTCCAAGGCCCGGCGCATGGCGGCCAACGTCCGGGAGCGCAAGAGAATCCTCGATTACAACCAGGCCTTCAACGCCCTGCGGCTGGCCCTCCGGCACGACCTGGGGGGCAAGCGGCTCTCCAAGATCGCCACCCTCCGCCGCGCCATCCACCGGATCGCCACCCTCTCCACGTCCCTCCGGTCCGGGCCTGCGGTGGGGTGGTCCTGCGCCCACGCTGAGTGCCAGCCGCCCCGGGGCGAAGGCGGCTTTAGGGACAGCCAGCCCAAGCTCTTCCAGCCTCTCTGGGAACCTGGATACAGTAAGGGGCCTCCATTTCAGCCCAGTGCGACAGCATGCATGAAGTGCCGCCCCGAAAACGCTTCCCATCACTTGGTCGACAACCCCAAAGAGGGCACTTATGGATCCAGCTGTGCCTGTTGTCCAGCCGGCACCCTCCTCCTGGGGGGCCGAGCCCCCTGCCAGCAAAGACTTGCAGATGCCAGCATTCAAAGTTGCCCTGGTCATTTCCCCTGGAAGTACGGCTTGTTCTGAGATGTGGACTCTCAGCCTTCTTCATCCTTGTGGTCCTGATGGTGAGGGCACGATCCTCTGCTTCCCCTGAAGTTGGATCGGGACAGTTTTCCTAGGATCTCACATTGACCCTTGCAGACTTAGAGAAGTTGCCTTCTCAGGATTTCGCATTTCCTCTGGCTGAGTTTGTAAAGGTATACAGATGCTTTTTTGACTGTACCTTCATGGGGCAGAGACCTATCTCCAGCTGATTTGCGCTCCAGCTGATTTGTAAATATATACAGTGGCTTTTTGACTGCATGCTCCTGGGGAATCTGTAAAATGCCATGCACACTGTATAAATATATTATATTATGATCTTGCAACCACTGGATACTGCAGGAATATTTGTGTCTTTGGGATGTTATAGGTTCACCCGCCTTTGTGACTTTTCCTGAAATAATCTGATGCCAGCTCTGTCAGGCTGACGGAATCACTGCCCTGATCTGGAGGGCAGCCTCACTGCAAAGCAGCTGAGGGGCGGCAATATTTCAAAGGGGCGTCAGAGGGGTACCTGCCACCAGGATGTGAGCCCCAGATGGTTTTCCACAAGGGAACGTCGTCCTCGGACCAGATGTGGAAGCTTAACCACTACAGCTAGAAACACTGACTTGGGAATAAGCCCCACAGAACTCACTGGGGCTCATTTCTCAGTAGATATCCATGGGGTGGCACTTGTCAGCATCACTACAGTTCTGGGTGCAACTAGAATGGGGTGTGTGTGTGCGAACCAGCCGATGTCTTAAGAAGGAACAGAAGGAGTCCAGCTGAGACACTTGAACACCAGTGCAGGCAGCAAGATAGGTGTGGTTTATTTGTCTGCTTAGATCTGTTGGGGCATAAACTCTAGAACCTGTAATCCACAAAGGGTGCGCCAGGGCATGCTAAGAGTGCTGCAAGATGAAAGTTAATTAAATAGTCGAAGGCCAAAGCATTTTTGGGCATGTGTCCCTTCTCTGATTTCGCCTCTTACTAATCCAGACTGTACTGGGGGATTGGGGCACGGAATGACGATGGGAAGTAATTCTGCTCTGCCAGGGTGCTGACGGATCAGGGATTTCTAGCTGCGATTCCTGCATAGCAAGGGGTTGGGACTAGATGACTCGGGGGCCCCTTCCAATGCTACAATACAGTGGTACCTCGGGTTAAGAACTTAATTTGTTCGGGAGGTCTGTTCTTAACCTGAAACTGTTCTTAACCTGAGGTACCACCTTAGCTAATGGGGCCTCCTGCTGCCACCGCTGCGTGATTTCTGTTCTCATCCTGAAGCAAAGTTCTTAACCCGAGGTACTATTTCTGGGTTAGCGGAGTCTGTAACCTGAAGCGTCTGTAACCCGAGGTACCACTGTACTGTGATTCTCTCCGCGTGCGCACACACACATGTGCTGCTCTGGCCTTGCCTCCTTCTAATTAGGAGAGATTTCCTACCATTGCATAGAAAAACAGAGGGACAGATGGATTTTGCTGGAGGCAATCATTATTTCTCTCGCGCATTCTTTAAAAACATTCATGTGTAAGAGTGAAGATGGCCTCCCATTTTAATTGAGAGATTTTTCTGTTGCTGATTTTTTTGTTTTGTTTTTTTCTGTTAAAAGGATGAGCTTTAGCTATCTGGAGTTGGGAGACACACTGATCTGTACTGATATAAGAGAGTCACTTGATAAAACCAGTTGCTGTGTTTCTGTGACGCTCCTGAGATCCCAGTGCCATTATCTGCAACGTACTTAATATTATCAGTATAGTTGTCGGTATCGTACAGTTATCTGCTCACTGTCCTGAATGGTGGAGCAATTTGTTTTCCCAAATCAATGTAACCTCCTCTGTATTTTTGAGCAATTTTGGGAAGGGCTGTAGCAAAGTGACAGAGCACCTGTTTTGCGTGCAGAAGGTCCCAGGTCCAGTCCCCGGTGGCATCTCCAAGTAGAGCTCAAAATGTCAGGGCAGATAAAAGAAAGGACTTCTTCACGCACCTATGGAACTCTCTCCCACAGGAGGCAGAGATGGCTACCAACCCAGATGGCTTTAAAAGAGGATTCGCATAGGAATTCATGCATTGGTATCGATGGCTACCAGCCATGATGGCTCTGATCTGCCTCTGCAGTTGGAGGAAGCAATGTCCGCTGCTGGAAACTGCAGCAAGGGAGAGGGATCCTGTGTTCAAATGGTGATTGGCATCTTGTTGGCCACTGTGAGTAGAGGATGCTGGACTAGTTGGGCCAAGGGCCTTATCCAGCAGCCTCCCCTGTCATTATCCCTGCCTTGAAACCATGAAGAATCACTTCCAGACAGTATAGAGAGCTATTGACCAATGATCTGACTCAGTGGAATGCATCTTCCTGTTTAGATCAGCCCTATATTCCTGAGGACTGGAATCTTACTTTGTGTTACTTGCAGGCTTCCCATTGGGGCATTTGGTTGACTGCAGAATCCCGGAAGATGCATCTTCCTACTATCCACAAATAGGTTGTGGGGCTCAGAACACCACTGTTTCCACAGTGCTTTCCTTCCTTCTTTGCAAAGGAGTCCTCCAGGGAATCAGCAATATGAGACCCCGGCCAAAGGCAGGAGATTCTGTTCTATTGAGCTTGACCCACACAAACTTCTGAGCCTCACAGAAGTCTTCTTCAAGCAGAGGCGGGAATGGCATCAACGACCCAACCCATTTTGTTCTCTGTATGATGTGGAAATCTTGCTTGGGAGCAGCACGGGGGCGGGGGGGGGGGGAGGGAAATGTAGATTCTTTTTGTGGGTGGGTGACCCAGCCAGAAAATTCCTCATGTGGTCCACAAGGTGGCACTCTGCACCAGTTCTAAAGTCTGCACATACCACGGTCCCAGGTACCATCCCAGCATCTTCAGGCAAGACAACAGTTGCAAAGCAGCTGGCAATGCTGAGCTAGATCACGGGTGGGCAAACTAAGGCCCGGGGGCCGGATCCGGCCCAATCGCCTTCTAAATCCGGCCTGCTGATGGTCCGGGAATCAGCATGTTTTTACATGAGTAGAATGTGTCCTTTTATTTAAAATGCATCTCTGGGTTATTTGTGGGGCATAGGAATTTGTTCATTTCCCCCAAAAAATATAGTCCGGCCCCCCACAAGGTCTGAGGGACAGTGGACCGGCCCACGGCTGAAACAGGTTGCTGACCCCTGAGATGGACCAATGGCCTGATTCGGTATAAAGTAGCTCCCTCTGTTTCTATTCAATACAGCCTTTTATTCAGGTCCATGAGGACCGGGATCTTGCATTATTTTTTTAGGATGGTTCAGAGGCACAGCACATGCAGAAGGTCCCGGGTTCAATATGGAACATCTGCAGGGAGGCTGAGAATGTCCCCCTGCCTGAAACCCTGGAGAGCTGCTGCTGCCAGTCAGAGTAGACAATACTGAGCTACAGGGTCTGCTGACTTGGCCTAAAGCTCATCATTGCTCGGGCACTTCCACAGCAGATGCACAGCTGACGTGCTTCTATGTGCATCCTGCAAAACCCCCTTGAGGACTAGTAAAATGTTCAGTCCCTTCAAAACCGGGGCGTGGTGCCTGCCTCCTGATAGAAGTCAGTACAGAGCAAAGCAAGGCTCGCAGGTGCTGAAACTAACATCGAGTGTTTCTCCCTTTCATAGACTTGAAATAGTATTTGGCAGCAACTAAGAAGGTTACCCCTGAAAATGGGCCAAGCCACATCCACACATCCCTTCACACATCTTGACAGTTTCCCAGGCTCTCACCTCCTAGAATCATAGAATCATAGAATCATAGAGTTGGAAGAGACCACAAGGGCCATCGAGTCCAACCCCCTGCCAAGCAGGAAACACCATCAGAGCACTCCTGACATATGGTTGTCAAGCCTCTGCTTAAAGACCTCCAAAGAAGGAGACTCCACCACACTCCTTGGCAGCAAATTCCACTGTCAAACAGCTCTTACTGTCAGGAAGTTCTTCCTAATGTTTAGGCGGAATCTTCTTTCTTGTAGTTTGGATCCATTGCTCCGTGTCCGCTTCTCTGGAGCAGCAGAAAACAACCTTTCTCCCTCCTCTATGTGACATCCTTTTATATATTTGAACATGGCTATCATATCACCCCTTAACCTCCTCTTCTCCAGGCTAAACATGCCCAGCTCCCTTAGCCGTTCCTCATAAGGCATCATTTCCAGGCCTTTGACCATTTTGGTTGCCCTCCTCTGGACACGTTCCAGTTTGTCAGTGTCCTTCTTGAACTGTGGTGCCCAGAACTGGACACAGTACTCCAGGTGAGGTCTGACCAGAGCAGAATACAGTGGCACTATTACTTCCCTTGATCTAGATGCTATGCTCCTATTGATGAGGCCCAGAATTGCATTGGCTTTTTTAGCTGCCGCGTCCTCCTGTTTCGGGAGCACTTTTAAACACTGCCATTTCCCATCTGGTCTTTAGACACTGCCGTTAAATGGAACCTCCAGATTCAGAGGCAGTCTATCTCTAAACGTCAGCAGCTGGGGAAGCAACAGCCAGAGAGGGCTGCTGCCTCCAGTGCCCTGCCCAGTGAGCTTCCTTAAGGCGCCTGGTGGGTGCTCTGGGTGGGAAAGGGGTGCTGAATCACTAAGGTTGGTTTGATCCATCCAGCTGAGGTTTCCTTGAGGACTAGGAACAAGGAACTGAGAAGGAGGTGTAAGGAAATAACTGCTAAATACGAAGAAGGAACTGAGGTTAGGAATTAGGGATAAGAAGAAACGATTTGGGAATAAGGAAGTAAGGAGACGCAGGAATAAGGAACGGGGAATAAGGAGCCAATTCCAGCCTCCGTCTGCCTTCTCCAGGGCTGCTGCTTCCCACCGGCCAAGTCCCTCCCGGGAGCTGCTTCCCAAACCCCGCTTCTCCACCACACAACCCGAGCAATCTGCCCATTGCCGGCGGTTGGCGGGCCGTGCCTTGGGGCGAGCGAGCGTCAGGGAAGGCGCTCTGGCTCCTCCTCCTCTTGCCTCCTGGGTGAGCTCACAACCCAGCCTGGGCGGCCCCTTCGACGGACCGGCGCGCAGTTGCCAAAGAGCGCTTTGGAGAGAGAAGTGCGAGCGCGGCGGATAAGAGAGAAGCCTGCGTGGCTGGGTCAGGCAAGCGAGAGAGCAAGAGGCAGGAGGAGGACGGAGAGAGTCCCCAGCACCAGGGCGAGGCGCGTGTGATCCCGTCGAGGCGGCGCCTGCGGCTCCCTCCCCGGACCCCCTGCTCCTTCGCCCGGATCATGGGAGTCTAAGCGCGGCGCAGCCATGGCCATCAACACGGAGGCGCCGCTGGCGAAGGCGCTGGAGAACTCTCCTCCGCCCGTGGACTCGCACGAGACAGAGAAGCTGCTGACCGCCGTCGGGGTAGCCCCGAAGTCCTTCTCAGCCGGTGGAGAAGGCGGCGATGAAGCGCCCGCCGGGGGCGAGGCCGAGCGCAACGGCCACCACAGCCTGCCTTACCAGTCCGGCTCGGAGGGGAAGCTGGAGGCCACGTCGCTCTCGCCGTCGCGGCTCAGCCTGGGGCGCGCCTCGTCCACGGCCACCACCTCCAACCTGCACGAGCCGGGCCGCTCGCGGGACTACCTCCCGCTGGCCATCTTCTCCTGCTTCTGCCCCATCTGGCCCCTCAACATCCTGGCCTTAGTCTTCTCCATCATGGTAAGCGGCCGTTCCCCCGCTCCAGCGCGTCCCCTCGGGACTCCGGCTGTGCGCAAAGACGCGCCGCCCTCGCCAAGTTCCTTGTGCGCCCTGGGCGCACCGGGGACATCGGCACGGCGTCGGGGAGTCGCGGAGCGCGGAAGTCCCCGGCGGGAACTTTGTAGCTGCGTTTAAAACTTGAGCAAAGGGCATTACATCGGGGAGGATGGAAAAAGAGTGTCGGTAAGGGAGGGGTGTCTTAGTTTCTCCAAAAGTCTGTGAACTGCAAGTTTTGGAGTGGACTGTTCTTCCCGTTTCGGAAGGACACGACTTTTGGGGGTTTGCGTGTGAGAGAGAAAGAATATGCAATCATATCGACCTATCTGGGAAGTGGAGGAAGAGAAAACAAAGAGTGAATAATCGTAATTTATAACTTTCCCTGCATAGAGACTCCAAATACAGCAGCTCCCTTCTCAAATGCGGGGTGGGGCGTGTGCGTTTTGTGGATTGGGGAGATGGGAGAAAGACTTAAACAGAGTGTGAGGATTTGGGGGGATTTAATATAATTATGCTAGAAGTGCCCTTTCAAGTGTAGGATCTTGCTCACGACTGAATTAAGGCTGCGGTACCCTATACCCGCTGAGCTGGGAGTAAGGCGCGTTGAATTCAATGGCAGTTCTGAGCAGAGATGTCGAGGATTACACAGCAATAAAATCAATTTAATTCGCGGGCCAAATACGAGGGTTTTGGGTGGATGGGTTGGTGGGTGTGCGTGTGTGTGTCTAATTCCCTCTTCTGCTTATCAAACGAAGTTGATCAATAGCTCCAAACCCTGCCCTCTTCCTTCCCATCCGCCCCAGCTAGACATGGGTTGGAGACAGATCCCACTTAAGTTAAGACGTGTCAAGAACAGCCTAGGCGTCTCTTGCATAGCTCTGGATTTTGTCGGAGAGAGATGTAAAAAATTATAGAGTGAGGAAATTGGGGGGGGGGTTGACAGAACTTGTTGCCATGTAATGTCGAAATTAAGACTACTCTGAGCATGTACAGAGTGCCTCTGACCACGAAGAACAAACACAAGCTTCTGCCACGGGGAGGGTAAGAGAGCTCAGAGAGCAGTTTCCAGAGCTGATAGATGCAAATTTGGTTGCACATTAACCTCTGACTGGGTGTGTGTGCGCGCCCCCTTCCATTCCCATTCTGTGGGTGCGCTTACCAGCAAGGTGAGGGGCAGCCGTGTGTTAACAGGATCCCCTGCAAAAAATGACAGGACCACAGCGGTCCAGAGAACCTCAAAACGGGCAAAAGTCTCCTGGTCACAAAGGCGTATGAACTAGCGGGGGTGTAGTGGTTAGCCTGGGGGGGACCTGGGTTCAAATAATAATAATAATAATAATTTATTATTTATACCCCGCCCATCTGGCTGGGCCTCCCCAGCCACTCTGGGCGGCTTCCATAAAAACCAAAAATACAGTAAATACAGTAAAATCCCCACTTGGATATACGAAGTTCTCTGGGTGTGATCCTGGGGGGCCAGGCACCATCCTCTTAGCCCGACCTACTTCGCAGGGCTGTTGTAGGGATTAAATGAGATGGGGGAGAGACACGGATGCCGTCTTTGAGCTCCTTGGGAGAAAAAGGTGGGTTATAAACGGAAGGAAGGAAGGAAGGAAGGAAGGAAGGAAGGAAGGAAGAAGAAGAAGGAAGGAAGAAGAAAGAAAGAAAGAAAGAAAGAAAGAAAGAAAGAAAGAAAGAAAGAAAGAGAGGAGGGAGCCAAAGTTTGTTGGGGGGCAGCACCCCCCTCAGAAGTCACACAGCTTCCCTGGGATGACTAGAGGGAACGAGGAATAATTTGTTTCCGTTGAGCTGACTATAGAAAGCTCTGGACATCCATACTTCTTCCTGTTTCTCCCCTCTCCAGTCTCTGGATACAACCAAGCATATGTGGGGTTGGCTTTGGGGCAGGCAGAGATGAATTTGGATGCTGAGGAGATTCATCCATAGGACTGGCGCAAGGAGGTCTCTGCCTCTCTCTCCCTCCCTCCTTCTCTCTCTCTCTCTCTCTCTCTTGATTTGGCTCCAGGAAGGCCTCCTGGCAGACGCAGTGGGGGAAGAAAGGAAAGGGTGGAGGGGGACACAGAGCACAGAATTCTAGCATGGTACAGTTGGGAGGGGCCCAAGGGGTCATCTAGTCCAACCCCCCGCTGTGCAGGATGCTCTTTTAATTTCTAAAATGGGGCGTGCCGGTTCTCAAGTTCTGCCTTTGGGCTGGGATGAGGGCAGCCACCCACCTGCGCCCCTAAGGAGGTAGAGGGCAGGTATCTGGCAGGAAAAGGCCCGGCGCGCTTGACGTGTTCAGAGGCAACGCTTATGCTTTTGACATGGTCTGAGAAGGCTGAGCTCAGAAACAGAGAGGACTAAGGTTTAGCTGCCACGCAGGGCTGGGAGAGGTGGGAAAAAGGGCGGCCAACATTATTGAGGAATTGTAAGAGCATCGCCTCTGGCCAGGGTTTACAGGGTTGGCTGTGTAAACTTGGCAGAGCGGTGGATGATGGGAAGAAAAAAGCCGTGCTGGCTGAGCTGATGGGAATTGTAGTCCAGCTGGAGGGCGCCAGGATGGCCAAGGCTGGATTAATGGTTAATAATATAAAAGCTGAAAGAGAGAGAAGCAAAGAGGGAGCTGTCCATGGTAGCAGCCAGGAGTCCTCCAAAACAGGGAAAGCTTTTCAGGGAAACGCAGAGTGGTTCCAGACTTAAACACTGAGTCAGAACGTTGCTCCATCTAGCCCAGTACTGCCTACACCGGCTGGCAGTGGCTCACCCGTATTTCAGATCAAGGATCCCTCCTCCAAGCCCTGGCTGAGGACGCTGCCAGAATTTGAACCTGGGACCTTCTGCATGCAAAGCTGATGCTTTACCACTGAACTATGGCCCATCCCTTAAAAATAAATCAAGATGCTAGCCCTCATGGTGCTGAACTAAGGGCATGTTTGAAGAGGAACACAGGAAGCTGCCTTATTGGTCCACCTGGCTCAGGACACTGGCTGGCAGCAGCTCTCCAGGATTTTAGGCAGGGAGCCTTTCCCAGCCCTACCCGAGGATGCCATTGGTGATTGACACCTTCTGCATGCAAGGCAGATGCCCTGCCACTCAGCTCATGATAGGCAAGGGGAAAAAAGGCTCTGATAAGCCCCCCTTGTACAGGGCTTCTCCACAGATAGACAGCAGACTGAGTAGGACATGGAAAGAGGGGGCCGTGGCACATTTGAGCTCTGCATCCATACTAACCACATGAAAACACTTGTTTCTCAAGACCGGCAAGTAGGATCGATCTGGCAATAGCAATGCTGAGCCCCCAGGTTCAGATGAAGTCTATCTCAGGATACCAAGAGATGATGAAGAATGCCATGGGGAGGGCATTTGCACTCAGAGGCACCCAGATGGCCATACAGCTGGGCCTAGGTGGGCCTTAGGCCTTAGGCTCCCGGAAGGCCTCTCCTAGATGTCCTTACGAAGTAAGATAGTTAAGAGTGGAGCCTCCATAGGCAGAATCAGCAGCAGGCCCTTTGAATATTTTATTTATTCATTAAATTTGTATGGCACCCTTAATCAGAAGACCGCAGGACAGCTCACAACATAAAAAAAATACAAAACGAAAACACAAAATACATAATAAAACCAAGTTCAAAAACAACTCCCACAAACACATTTAAAGGGTCACAGAATGTTTAATTAGCCAAAGGCCTAGGAGAAAGGAATGTTTTTGCCCGGCACCTAAAGATATGCAATGAAGGCGCCAGGCGAGCCTCCCTGGGGGAGCATCCCACAAATGGGGAGCCACTGCAGAAAAGGCCCCGTTCTCATGTTTCTGCCCTCTCGTGAAGGAGGCACATGAAGAAGGGCCTCAGATGATGAACACAGAGTCTGGGACAGTTTGTATGGGGAGAGGCAGTCATGAGCCTTAAGAAGGTTTAATAGGTCAAAACCAGCACTTTGAATTGGGCCTGGAAACTAATTGGCAGGCACTGTAATTAGGCCAGGATCGGTGTAATATTCTCAAACTGTCTTGCACCGGTGAACAACCTGGCTGCCAAATTGTGCACCAACGGATGTTTCTGAACCTTCTTCAGAAGCAGCCCTACATTTAACACTTTGCAGTAATCTAATTTAAAGGCTATCAGAGTACAGCTGGGGGACAGACAACCAGGGAGGGCCACTGCCGTTTATGTCCTGCCCTCACACCTGGGAAGGGCTGTCGCACAGTGGGAGAGCATTTGCCTTGCTTGCAAAAGGCCTTGGGTTCAATCCCAGGTATTTCCAGGTAGGCTTGTGAATGTCCCCTTCTCTGAAATCCTGGAGAGTTGCTGCCAGTCAGTGTAGACAATCTTTAGCTAGAAGGACCAAATGGTCTGTGTCAGAATAAGGCAGCTTCCTGCAGCATCATCATCATCATCATCATCATCATCATCATCATCATTATTTTAATCAGCCCTTTATTCAGAACAATGAGGACTAGGATCTTTAGTTTTAGGGAGTCACAGCTCAGGGGTGGAATACCTGCCTTACATGCCAAAAGTCACAGGTTTAACCTCCAGGCAGAGAGGCTCGTCCTCTGAAACTCTGGAGAGCGGTTGCTGCCAGTCAGTGTAGACAGAACTGAGCCAGATGGTCTGACTCAGCAGAAGGCTCCTTGTGAGTTTCCCAAATGCATCCTGCAAAGTAGAGGATGCTGGATGGACCATCTTTGTTTAAGAGATTGTTTCTGCAGTTAAGATTTAGTTTTTGGAGATGCAATCTTGTTGCTGTTACCTGGATCATGCTGCTGCATTTCAGTGATCAGCAAATACATTTTATTGCATATTCATGAAGTTCACATCAGCTTATTCCGGCCATTTAAAGTCTGTGGCATCTTGTAACAGTGAACAAACTGTGTAAACCTTTGGATGGTGCGAGCTGCCTTGAGCAGGGCTTACTAAGGATGTAAGAGGATGTAAATGTAAGAGGACGTTGAAGGCGGACCTTTGGTCTGCTCCAGCAGCCAGGCTCTTTCGAAGGATCATTGAAAGGGGGGTCAGCATTTCTGTCCCCTTTCAGGTTGAGAAAAGCAGCAGAGCCACTAAGAAGTCTTTCCTGACTCCCTGCTATTTTGTTACAAGTCAGGAGTGTGTGATGTTTTTGCCACCTGTGTCCATTTGATTACCGAAAGAAGCCCCAGAGGACCATTACATACTCCACGGTTTCGCAAAGATAACTTTGATTCTCTGCCGCGGAAGCACACACAGAGGCCATCTCCCCAATTAGCAGCAACAACAAAAACAGGCTTATAAACTGCAGTCATAACCCCGTTTACCTGGGAGTGAGTCCATGCAAAATAAGTGTGTGTGTGTGTGTGTGTGTGTGTGTGTGTCTTCTTCTTCTTCTTCTTTGGCGATCCCTCGTAGCCGAGTAAGATCGTCTTCCATAAACAAGGTTTTAACAATGAATCCATAAGTGACTGTGGAGGCCAATTCTGGATCCACACATCCTTCCACATTGGGGACATAGGTTTCCAGGCAGGAGTTGATCGCGGTGTGGATTTGCCAAGCGTGCCTTCCTCTTAGCGCGTTTCTCCCTCGAGTCCTGAGTTTGAGTGTCTTCAAAGTCCATGACACCTTTGGTAAAGGCTGTTCTCCAACTGGAGCACTCGCAGGCCAGTGTTTCCCAGTTATCAGTGTTTATACTACCTTTTTTTTATACACACACACACACACAATATATATATCCAGTCCAGTTGCACACGCATATATATACACACACAGTATATATATATATATGCAGGTTTTGGTGTCCTCGGGTGTCTTCCCGTGTAAAAGTTGGGGTGTCTAGGCGACGTTTCGACGAGGTCTCACTCGTCATCTTCAGGCTGGTGCTTTCGGCTTCTTGTTACTGGAACAGAGCAGGATCTCAGTGTTTGAGTTCCTATAAATACTGTTGAGGGGTGTGGTGTGTAGCCTCCAATGTTCTGGGCAGAGAGGAAGTTCCCAGGTTAGTGTGCCTTTTCTTCTTTTGTTCCTTAATTACTTGAGGGATATCTTGAGTGATTTCTTGAGTGATATCCTGAGTACCACTTAGGTGGGTCATTAGGTGTGGATTAGTTGCTAAAGCCTTCGTGTCTTCACCTCTTGAACTTTGTGAAGAGTTTTTCTGAGAAGATGGCTGTACTGCACTTAGTTGTGCTCTGGCTTGGCTTCGTGTATAGGGGCGAGCTGTGGTTTTGTGTCCTGTGCCAGCCAGATCTGTGTAGGGATTGCAGGGGGGTGCAGCATCCGGAGGTGCCACCATGGTTTGGCTACTGGATGGTGTCTGTAATTTATCTGTGGAGAGGGTCTGGGTTTGGGTCTGGTGTGGTTGATTGGTGATGGCGTTCTGTGTGCCTCTGGATCTGGTGTCGGTTTTTGTGGGGAGGGCTAATTTCCAGATGTCTGGCAGGCGGGATGTGTCGTCACGCTTGTTCATGTTGTGAGGGTGTTTCTCTATCTCGATGGCTTCCATGATTATTCTCTTGTGGTGATGTTCCATGTTAGAGAGCAATTTGGAATCTGCAAAATTAATTTCGTGTCCTGTTTCTTTCATGTGTTGGAAAAGAGAGGAAGTTTTTTCTTCTTTTTTGACGGCATTCTTGTGTTCTGCGATACGTGCATTTATTCGTCTGTTTGTTTGTCCAATGTACGTGGCTGGGCAGATTTTGCAGGGTATTTCATAGATTTTGCAGGGTATTTCCCAGCCACGTACATTGGACAAACAAACAGACGAATAAATGCACGTATCGCAGAACACAAGAATGCCGTCAAAAAAGAAGAAAAAACTTCCTCTCTTTTCCAACACATGAAAGAAACAGGACACGAAATTAATTTTGCAGATTCCAAATTGCTCTCTAACATGGAACATCACCACAAGAGAATAATCATGGAAGCCATCGAGATAGAGAAACACCCTCACAACATGAACAAGCGTGACGACACATCCCGCCTGCCAGACATCTGGAAATTAGCCCTCCCCACAAAAACCGACACCAGATCCAGAGGCACACAGAACGCCATCACCAATCAACCACACCAGACCCAAACCCAGACCCTCTCCACAGATAAATTACAGACACCATCCAGTAGCCAAACCATGGTGGCACCTCCGGATGCTGCACCCCCCTGCAATCCCTACACAGATCTGGCTGGCACAGGACACAAAACCACAGCTCGCCCCTATACACGAAGCCAAGCCAGAGCACAACTAAGTGCAGTACAGCCATCTTCTCAGAAAAACTCTTCACAAAGTTCAAGAGGTGAAGACACGAAGGCTTTAGCAACTAATCCACACCTAATGACCCACCTAAGTGGTACTCAGGATATCACTCAAGAAATCACTCAAGATATCCCTCAAGTAATTAAGGAACAAAAGAAGAAAAGGCACACTAACCTGGGAACTTCCTCTCTGCCCAGAACATTGGAGGCTACACACCACACCCCCTCAACAGTATTTATAGGAACTCAAACACTGAGATCCTGCTCTGTTCCAGTAACAAGAAGCCGAAAGCACCAGCCTGAAGATGACGAGTGAGACCTCGTCGAAACGTCGCCTAGACACCCCAACTTTTACACGGGAAGACACCCGAGGACACCAAAACCTGCATTCCTGTACCCGTGAAAATCTACGAAAGCAAATATATATATATATATATATATATATATATATATATATATATATGCGCGTGTGCAACTGGACTTGACTGATACCCTTTATGCAAAGCAGAACCCAGCTTTTTTTAAAAACCGTGCACAGCTGTGGAAGTGGGTTCAGGTTGCAAGGGAGGGTTTAATGGGAGATCTAGAATCAAGGGTGGGGGAAGATTTAAAAAAGGGGGGAAGTTGGCTAGCCACGGGTTGACCTAGAAAGGGGTGTGTGAGTGAAAGCAGTGTAGACCTAAGTAAAAGCACCACACACACATGCACATCTAAGGTTTCTCATTTGTAATGGAAACATGAGCCAGCTGTGTTCTGCTGCAGCAAATAAAGCCAAAGTGGTTTACAAAAAAAAGCTAAAACTATCAATACTATACTATCAATACTATAAGATGACCCGACAGCAAAAATTCAAAACTCCAAAGATGTTAAAATAACAGTAGACTGAAAACAGATCAAAACCCACATTAAACTTCTAAACAACTGGGGAGCCTTGCCTAAATAAGAATGTTTTTAGCATGCGCTGAAAAGAGCTCAGTGAAGGCGCCTGCCTGATATCAAGAGGCAGGGAGTTCCAAAGGGTAGATGCTGCCACAGTAAGATGCCAAATTCTCCCAAATATACTGGAACAGGTATTATGTGGTCCCTGTAACAGTGCCAGTTCCACCGATCGAAGCAACGCTGTGGGCTTATGTGGGGTAAAACGACCTCACAGGTAAACTGCCCCCAAGTTGTTAGCCGATAGCAACACCTTGAATTTAGCCTGGGAGAAAATCGACAACCGGTGAAGATCTCTGAGCGCAGATGTTCTATGCTGACAAGGCCTCACTCTGGTCAGCAATCGTGGGGCAGCATCCTGCCCCAACTGCGCCTTCTGGGTCAAGCGCGAGAGAAGCCCCCTGTGTCCTCACACAACATGAACCAGGGGGGTGAATGGCAGCGCACAGGTCTAAGACGGGTCCAATTTTCTCTCCTCCCCTCCCTTCTCTTGACAGTCTAGGAACAGCTGCCAACAGGGAGATGTGGATGGAGCGCGGCGGTTGGGGCGGGTTGCCAGATTCCTCAGCATCATCTCCATCATCCTGGGGACCCTCATCATCGTGGTTTGCACACTGAAGTTCACAGGTAGGTGCCAACCTGTGTCCCACCCAATTCCTCCAAAGACACTCGCTCACAACCCTAAAGAGAGCTCAAACCAAGACGGCATGTTCAACACCACCATTATTCTTCCATTTGCATGCAATTATTTTGACATCCGGCCGCTGTGTTTAGGCAATTGATTCAAGACGTTTCCTATCAAAAGATCAACAAGGAGCCTAGGATTATACAATACCAGCACAATACATACAGTCCTTCACATGTAACAGTACACAGGACCTTCTCGGTAGTGGCACCCTCCCTTCAGATGTCAAGGAGACAAAGAACTACATAATTTTTAGAAGACATCTGAAGGCAGCCCTGTATTGGGAAGTTTTTAATGGTTGATGTTTTGATATATGCTGTAAGCCGCCCAGAGTGGCTGGGGAAACCCAGCCAGATGCGCGGGGTAGAAATAATAAATGAATGAATAGGAAAAAGCCTGGCATTTCAGGTGGCAGAGCATGAGGCTCTTAATCTCAGGGTTGTGGGTAAAAAGATTCCTGCATTGCAGGGGGTTGGGCTAGATGACCCTCTGGGTCCCTTCCAACTCTAAGATTCTATTATTCTAACAAAACTATGTGATTTTCAAGGACGGTCTTTGCAGGGCTACCCTCCCCGCAGCTCCAGGCCAGATGGAAATGATTCTGCCTCGCCTATCTCAATTTTGGTGGCAGGGAAGGGGGAAAAAGGAGAGCTTTGACAGCATATCCCAGGCAAAACAAACCCATGTTTCTGCCTGCAAGGAGTTTATAATGCAGAACGGCTTAGTGGTAGTGCCTGAACGAAATGGTGAAATGCATTCAAATGGTGAAAAAGGAGATTGCGACTGAACTTTAGGAAGGAGATCCTGAGAGTAAGAGCCATTCAGTCGTGGAATGGTCTCCCTCGGAAGGTGGTGGACCCTCTTTCACTAAAGGTTTTCTAAAAAGAATTTTAAATTTAATTTATATACAACAATTATTCAACCATCATTTTAACATCTCCAACTTCCACTCCTTTCCGCCTTTCTGCGGTTCTTTGCATTCATTTTCGTCCTTTCCTGCATACTCATTCTTTTAATCAACTATTCTCATATATATCTCATATATATTTTTGAAACTGCAGGTTTTTACAATAATCCTGCCAATGGCTTCACCTGTTTACAGTTTATTTGTAAATACTCAATAAACCATTTCCATTCCTTTCTAAAAAGTTTGTTATCTTGATTTATTATTCTCCCTGTATGTTTCGCCATTTCTGCACACTCCATTAGTTTCTGTAACCATTCTCTTTTGTTGGGACCTCTTCTTACAATTCTTCTTCTAACAATTTTGAGCAAATAACATTCTTGCAGCTGTGGTCGCAACGCATAAACTAACCAACTTCTATACTGTTGGTAGTTCTGATCCCATAATTCCCAAGAGAAAAGCTTCTGGGTTGGGTTTTTTTTAACAAATGTTATCTGAAATATCTTTTTCAATTCATTATATATCACTTCCCAGTAAACTTTAACCTTATTGCAAGACCACCACATATGGGAAAAGCTAACTTCTTTCTCTTTACATTTCCAACACCTATTCAATTTTGAATTAGACACTTTTGCCAATCTACTAGGTGTCAGGTACCATCTATATAACATGTTCCTATAACTTTCTCATAAACCAGAACATGCTGTCAATTTTATGCCCATATTCCACAATCGTTCCCATGCTTCCATTTCTATGTTATGACCAATATCTATTGCCCCTCTTTCACTAAAGCTTTTAAAGCAGAGGTTGGCTGGCCATCTGTCAGGGATTATTTAGCTGAGATGCCTGCATTGTAAATAAAATTGTAACAGGAACACACCTGTCTTGTGCTTGTAAAAACTGCCTGACCAATACGACCCTCTTTCTCCCTTCCCACCCCCAGGTTACCTGCAATCAAATTAGCATGAGCAAAGGAGGGTGGTCCTTCGACCTGCATATTTATTTGTGTTTTTGAGTGGCCGTAGGATGCCTCCCATTCCTGCGCGGTTGCAAAAGGACGGACTTTTTCAGCAGGAGAAAAACGTGGGCATCCTCCACAGCCCAGCCCTATTCTGCTCCCATCCTTGGACAGAATTTCAGCATGCCCATCTTCACCATTAGCCTTTCGGATCACAAAAAAAGTTTATTTCTGGGGGACGAACAAAACGTACAACCCGATGAACAGGACTAGGCAGGAGGGGAAGAATGAAGATCCCTTCTTGCCTGGCACAGGATCTCTCTACCTCGTCATCTGCCACACAGAGAGAAAGACACGGGTGGGCACGGAGAACCATCAAGAGGAGGCGCATTTCTCCCAAAGCAAAACTCTCCTTGATCTCCCGCTTCCCCTCACGCCAGCGGCAGTGAACTGGGTTTTGTACAGCTGGATGCTTTGCCTCCCTGCGGGCGTTGGGCAGAAATCACTCCTATTGCCGTGCAGAAAAGATTGAGAAGGAAAATCCACTGAGCCACCCAGCCCATTCCAAATACTGCTTCTCCCCTGCAGGGATGGTTCTGGAGCAGGGATCAAGGGAAGGTGTGGGCTTCGAGAGGGAATTCTGTTTTGCATATTTTTGATGACCATTTGCATGCCTGTACGTAGGAATAGGAGAAACTCATAGCTGAGCCTTGTCTCACTGCCCAGGTGCCATCCTTGTGCTTGCTTGGTCCTGCGCGACGCATGATGGGTTGTTTTGTGGGGTGTTTTTTTCCTTTTTGCAAGAGAGGCCCACGCTGGAGAATTAGTGGCGGTCCACTGCCTCTCTCCGCGACCCAAGGACGTTTCATCCCTGGGGCGGCTGAGGGGAAAGGGCCCCGCTTCTGCGTCTCCCAACAGCTCGATCCGGCACCCGTCAGGGCTGGGATGTGAAAAGGGATTGTTCCGCATCCCTTCGTTAAAATAAATTATAAACCTGTTTAAAAATAATATGCAGGAGAAGCAGATGCAACGGAGGGAGGCAGTTCCAGCCTCTGAAGGCAGCACCAGTTCTCCCAACGGGAAAGTGGGTGTAGAAAACCTTTTTCTCCCTCTCTCATGACACTAGAATACAGGGACACCCAGCGAAGCTGAACAATGGACGTTTCAGGGCACATAAAAGGAAGGACCGGTGACTCTCAAGTAACGCCGGGGTTACGTTTTGGGGGTCGCACGTAAAGCCAAAATCGTTTATAGTCAAAACACATTGGGGTCAATGGCGGGCGGGATTGCCAAAGTCCTTTTTCACGCAACTCTGCCACCTTTTTAATTACCATATTTTTTGCTCTATAAGACTCACTTTTTCCCTCCTAAAAAGTAAGGGGAAATGTGTGTGCGTCTTATGGAGCGAATGCAGGCTGCACAGCTATCCCAGAAGCCAGAACAGCAAGAGGGATTGCTGCTTTCACTGCGCAGTGATCCCTCTTGTTGTTCTGGCTTCTGAGATTCAGAATATTTTTTTTCTTGTTTTCCTCCTCCAAAAACTAGGTGCGTCTTGTGGTCTGGTGCGTCTTATAGAGCAAAAAATACGGTAATTGATTGCCAAGCGAATAAAGCTGAATGCACACAAATGTTTGCAAGCTGCCAGGTACCTGTACTTATTTAGGCTCTTGTGCTCAGGTTCTGCTTGCGGGTTTCCCATAATAGGCATCTGGTTGATGCCTGTGGACATCAACCAGATGCCTATTATCTGGAAACCTTTTTTCCAGAACCATGAGGACTAGGATCTTAGGGAAATGGCCATAGGGCATCTGCTTGGCATGCAGAAGGTTCCAGCTTCAATCCCTGCAATCTCCAAGTAGGGTGGGGGGAAACTCCTGCCTGAATCCATGGAGAGCCGCTGCCAGTCAGGGGTGGGAGGACTTTTCTGGCCAAAGGGCAACCGTCTGGAAGCTGCAGGGTGAGGCTGAAGGAAAATGAACACAGCGATGGATAGAATCATGTAATTGTAGAGTTGTAGCGTCCACATGAGGACTGAGCTAAGATACAGCAATGATCTGGCTTGGTAGAAGGCCATTTCCTGTGTTCTGGGATGTTCTGGGGAAGTTCTGATCATTCCTGCTGTAAACATCTGGATTCTACACATTCCATAGAATCAATTATCAGAATATTTGGAGATTTGTTAATCCACTGGCCTAGCAATGGAGTCAGCATTTACTTTTCACTGGGGATCAGGAGGCCTGATCCTTTGCGAGAGATCATGCAGGGAAGCAGCATTCACACATCCATCCCAGGGAGAAAAGGAAAGAAATTAAGACAGCCAACTTGTCTTTATTTTCTCATTTCTACAGACTCTAGGTTGGTGCTTGGGAATTCTGGGGGGGGGGAGGAAGGGGGGGTCTCCTTTATTTTTGGATGAAAATATCTCTGTCTTCCATTTCTTCCTTTTCTGCAAGAGATTGTATCGTATTTTTGTCTTTATACTTCTTGGCATGATGACAAATAAACAGAAAAGTTACCATGCATGGTCAAAACCTGGGCTGGACTCAAGTCTGTTGAAACAGTCCCTTCCAGATCGTGAAGCGGGAGGTCCCAGTTAAATACAAGCCCTTGCCAGGGGTCTCTTAAAAATGAAATACCCATTGCTCGCTGCACCCAGCCTCATTTTCTACTCCTGACTGCTGAGATGCTGTGGAATTCAGGACTTCGTAAGAGGCTGCCTGCTGTCTCTCTCCAGGAGTCTCCGCTCTGAGTCAGGCAATACACCTGTGTTGACCCCAGCCCTGTGTGTTTCAGAGGTGAGCTCCTGCGGGGATGGCCAGCCCTGCTCTAACCAACACGAATGGGGAGGTTTAATGCAGGTGCAATTCAGGAAAATAATAATAAATTAAAAGGTAAAGGTAAAGGTACCCCTGCCCGTACGGGCCAGTCTTGCCAGACTCTAGGGTTGTGCGCTCATCTCACTTAAGAGGCCGGGAGCCAGCGCTGTCCGCAGACACTTCCGGGTCACGTGGCCAGCGTGACATCGCTGCTCTGGCAAGCCAGCGCAGCACACGGAAACGCCGTTTACCTTCCCGCCAGTAAGCGGTCCCTATTTATCTACTTGCACCCGGGGGTGCTTTCGAACTGCTAGGTTGGCAGGCGCTGGGACCGAACGATGGGAGCGCACCCTGCCGCGGGGATTCGAACCGCCGACCATGCGATCGGCAAGTCCTAGGTGCTGAGGTTTTACCCACAGCGCCACCCGCGTCCCTCAATAATAAATTAGGTCTTGCCTATCTGAAGTTTGGGGAATAGCAATCTGGTTAAAGCAACATTGCAGCTGCAAAGAAACCCTGTAAACTGCAGCCCTTAGAAATGCTTCTTTGCCTGAGCAGCTTCTCTCCTGCAATGGGTGCGCCTTGTGGAAACTTGTCGGCATCTCAGTGCAAACCTCTCCCAATATAATAAATAATAATAATAATAATTTATTATTTATACCCCGCCCATCTGGCTGAGTTTCCCCAGCCACTCTGGCTCGCAATCGAGTGTGAAAAACAATACAGAATTAAATATTAAAAACTTCCCTAAACAGGGCTGCCTTCAGATGTCTTTTAAAAATAGGATAGCTGCTTATTTCCTTGACATCTGGTGGGAGGGCGTTCCACAGGGCGTCGCCACCACCGAGAAGGCCCTCTGCCTGGTTCCCTGTAACTTGGCTTCTCGCAGCGAGGGAACCGCCAGAAGGCCCTCGGCGCTGGACCTCAGTGTCCGGGCTGAACGATGGGGGTGGAGACGCTTCTTCAGGTATACAGGACCGAGGCCGTTTAGGGCTTTAAAAGGTCAACACCAACACTTTGAATGGTGCTTGGAAATGTACTAGGAGCCAATGTAGGTCTTTCAAGACTGGTGTTATGTGGTCTTGGCGGCCGCTCCCAGTCACCAGGCTGGCTGCCGCATTCTGGATTAGTTGTAGTCCTTCTACATGCAGTGCATAAACTATGGAACTCCCTCCCACAGGAGACAGTGGTGCCACCAACTTGGATGGTTTTAAAAGATGAATTCGCAGAGGATAATGTTACAGTGGTACCTCACAAGACGAATGCCTTGCAAGACGGAAAAACTCGCTAGACGAAAGGGTTTTTGGTTTTTTGAGCTGCTTCGCATGACGATTTTCCCTATGGGCTTGCTTCGCAAGATGGAAACGTCTTGCAAGTTTGTTTCCTTTTTCTTAACACCGTTAATACAGTTGCGACTTGACTTCGAGGAGCAACTCATAGCACACGGTGTGGTAGCCTTTTTTGAGGTTTTTAAAGACTTTGGTGATTTTTGAAGCTTTTCCAAAACTTTCCCGACACCGTGCTTCGCAAGACGGAAAAAAATCGCAAGACAAAACTCGCGGAACGAATTAATTTCGTCTTGCGAGGCACCACTGTATTATGACTCCGAAGGCCGTGTCTCCACAGTTGCAGGCAGAAATGCTTTTGCATCCCAGTCCCTGGAAACCACAGGAGGGAAGAAGGCTCTTGTGCTTGGGCCCTGCCTGAGGGTTTCCCTCCAGGAGGCATCCAGCTGGCCACTGTGAGACCAGGATGTTGGGACTGATCCAGCAGGCTCTCCTTATCCTTATGGTCTTCACGTTAACCAGCCTGGCTGATGCAGAAATGGGATGCTGGGAGTCTTCAGTCCAGCAAGACCTGGAAGGCTGCAGGTTCCCCAACACAGATAAGCAGAAAGACAAGACTTTCAGAGCTGGAAGCTGAATTCAGCTACCAAAACGGAAGCAGCAACTTTGTCCGGAATGAGTTGTGAGCTGCTGGGAATTGGACTGCAGGGGTCTACAGCCAGCGGAGACAGAATCCCGCTTTGCAGCAAAGGCCACCAGCCACCTCCCCAAAAGCAGGTTCCCTCCGGAGGCGTTTTCTTCCCCCGAGTGGATCTCTTCTCATCCGGCTCTCCCTGCCAAATGGAAGCGAGTTCACGGCAACAGCCAAGCTTGCATTATCGCAGCAAAGCAAATTAAAAATAAAATAAAACACAACCCGCCTTTCCTCCCTCGTCATCATCTCCCGAGCGCCGGCTGTAAGCCAGTTCACACAATCAGCAGAATTGATCTGTAAAGTGTGGGAGGAGGGGAGGGGGGGGCTGAGAGCATCTGTTCCGCTTGCAGAAAGCGCCATGTTCAACCCGCCCCTGTGACATATCTCCAGATGTGGCCAGGAATGTCTCTTGCTTGAAACCCCAGAGAGCTGCTGCTGCTGCTGCTGGTAAGTGTGGAAAACACTGAGCTGTCTGGACCACAGGTCAGAATCTGCATAAGGCACATGCTTGCATTTCAACCCTTTGTTCAGAGCTATGAGGACTAACATCTTGGTTTATTTTAAGGGGAGCAACCAGAGCTGTTTGGTACAGCTGCCTCCTTTACATGCAGGAGGTCCCAAATTCAATCCCCTAGTGGCATCTCAAGTTAGGGCTGGGAACGCAGCACTAAATGTCACCCCAGAAAGCCCCCAGCCAACACTTTTGGGGGCTACACTGCTTCAGCATATTCTGGGTTCGTAGAGGGATTTTTGCCTTCTCAGCTCGTGACTTTATGGGCCGGTGGACAAGACCCGCAGCACGGATCTTTACAGCTAAGGCAAAATTCGTGTTTCCATCTCTGCTTGCCTGGTGGGAGACGTGCTAACTGGCTTGTCCAATTAGATTAAGGCTTTGGGTACAGAAGCGAGAAAACATAATGCCTCTTAGATGGAAGGGGGGTAGGAACCATGAACAAGCACATTCCTTGAAAAGCTTACAGCAGGGGCCAGCAAACTTTTTCAGCAGGGGGCCGGTCCACTGTCCCTCTGCCCTTGTGGGGGGCCGGACTATATTTTGAGGGGGGAAATGAACAAATTCCTATGCCCCACAAATAACCCAGAGATGCATTTTAAATAAAAGGACACATTCTACTCATGTAAAAACACGTTGATTCCCGGACCATCCGCGGGCCGGATTAAGAAGGCAATTGGGCTGGATCTGGCCCCTGGGCCTTAGTTTGCTCACCCCTGGTTTACAGGGAATCACTCAGCAGAGCAGAGCCCCAGAACCTATTTGAAAGGCCACAAACATATTTGCAGTCCTGAAGGGAGAGGGGGCACAGACACTATTCTAATCCATTAACTTTGCAGTGAAAAGCTTGATCTGTAGGACTTAGTAGCTGATTGAAACCATGATGAATTTGGGAATATCTTCACTGTCGGAGGCTGGATGCCCCCGAATACGTCTGCCGGGAGTCACAAACAGAGAGAGTGTTGCTGTGGTGCTCAGAGGTCCTGCCTGTGTGATTCCCTTTGGGGCACTGCTTGGTCACTATGAGAAGCTGGACTAGATGGACCTCCTCTGGCCTGATCCAGCTGTGGGCTCTTCTTATGGAACCTCCAGGTCCAAAGGCAGTCTATCTT